ACCCTGACCTCTGAATCCCCTAACCCTAAACTCTAAACACTTCGGTGCCCTTATAGTAACCCCTATAGCAACCCTTATCGTGCCTTGAAAGGACTCTGAAAGCTACCCTTCACCCACCTGATGGCAAGATACGGATCTCGGCTTCGAGCACGTCGCTGGAGAAGAATCCTTTTTGGGGTTTGCAGGGCTCACCGTAAAGGCTCTAGGGACCCATATTCTAAGGCTTTTGCGCCCAAAGACCACACCATATAGGGTTCTTGGGGCTATTTTGAGCCTCGGGGTAAGGGATTGAGGAGTCGGTGGAGAAGAATCCTGCTTCTGGGCTCCTCATTACCTACTTGCGTCGTATCCTAAGGGAACTAAATGGTTAACCTTTGGGATGAAATGCGGACTTTGTGGCCCAACAAGGTCATATGTTGCCTACCCGACTGCCAAGATTATGATGTCCTCATTTGACTCATATAAGTCCTTGCAAGGGCAGGTTATTTGGGGTTAAGGCGGGCGTGGATAGATTTCTGCACAAAGCTCTCGTCATGTAGGAGGTTGGGGTATGGAGGTTCAGGGTTTTGGGGCGTAGGGGTTTAGGGTTTCGGGGATTGGGATTCAGGGTGTAGGGTCTAGAGTTTCGACGTATATCCCTGAGCAAGTTCAACCATAATGTAGGAACCTGATTACTGAACCCTAGTCCTAGCACCCCAACATAGTAGGATCCATATATAAAGAAACCCAATAAAGACCCAAGGTTTCTTCATCGGGCTCCCATATGGAACCCCCTAAACCCCTATAGTACTCGTATAGAGCCGTTTAAAAGGAACTTCTATTCACACCCTGAATCCCTGGGGCAATTTCACGCCCAGAGTTTCCCACCAGGTCAATTCGAACCCGAAGCCCCGGAGCCGGAGAGTTAACCCCAAACCCAAATCTATACTCTGTTTTATTTTTTTTTGGGGGGGGTTCCTTAATATAACTATAGTATGATATACCCCAAACCCTATTCTAATTATCAAGGCCCCTATATTACATCCCAAACCCTAAACCGTCCTAAACCCTTAATCCTGACCCCCTACATCCCTAACCCTGGCTCCCTATATAAAACATCTAAACCCCTAAACCCTGAAACCCCTAAACCCTAAAACCTCTAAACCCGCGAAGCCCTAAAGCGCAAATGGTGCTTCCGCTTGCCTGCAGCAGACCACCCGGTCTCGTCATCGCCGGGGCCTGCGCGGGCACCGAGGCACCCGAAAGTCTCGTCATTGTGGTTGAAGAAAATGGTGGGTGCAGGGTTTAGGGTTTAAGGTTTAGGGTTTAAGCTTTAGGGTCGGGATTTTGGCCTCTGAGCTTTGAGGCTCAATGTCGAAAGAACACATGGGCAGTTCTCTAAAATTAGGGTCCCTTTTGGGCTCCCTTTTAGAAGGGCGCCGTACTAGATTTGGGACCCAAAAAACGTAATTTAGAAAAGTACCCATACTGTTGATAGTATAAACCCTGCATTACCCCAAGGACCCCAAAATTATGGGAGTTCTGGTACATGTCCTAGCTATGGGTAATGCAGGATTTATACCATCAACCATAAGATTCGACCCGGGGTCTCAAGAATTTCAGTTCTACAGTCTTGGGCGGCAGATCCAATCCTGCGGGCATAAGGGGTTTAGGATGTAGGTTTAGGGTTTAGGGTTGAGGGTTTAGGGTTTAGGGTTTAGGGTTTAGAGTTGAGGGTTTAGGATTTAGGTTTTAGGGTCTGGCAGCAAACCGGCCTGCAGCGCTGATGCGAATCAGCTTCTTTCCATGACCATAAGCACTTGAAGCCCGAACCGTAAACCGTTAAACCCTGACGCAAGTTGAGGCAAGAATCCCACCAGGTGACAAAGGGATGATAAGGACAAGCAATCATACGGAGTACGGATCCGGATGCTCCAACGACATTGTCATCAGGCTTGTGAGGCTTAACTAGCTGAACCAAGATAAATCTTGGTAGCGTTGACCGTGGTGCATCTAGTGTTTTGAAATTTCAGCACAAGCCTCCTGCAGCATCTCTGCACGCCAGACACGACTTCTTAGTCAGGAACTTTCGCTTGATAATCAGTTTTCATGTCGGTAAACATGGGGGGCTCAAGCGTTAGACTAGGGTTTTGGGGGAAAGGCCGTGTAGCCATGCAGGGACTGTAGTAAGGGATACTACTACAAACTATTTCGACCCCCAGAGCAGTCCAAGCTTGGGGTGTGTGCGCATGTAGCTCGAGGGATGACAGGTGATTAGGGATCCGTGCCGGTAACCACGAGGCCTACCTGAGCGGAACTCTTCTCTAGCACAAGACCAAGTAGTCAACCCTACACCCTGAACCGTGGCTTAGGGCTTTTGGTTCCGGGCCTTGCTGGTGCGGAAGGGAGAGTGGAGGAGGGAATATAAGGAACACTAGGAAGGATTATGCAGGGACTACTATACGGATCCCCTCTCACTGCCCGTTACCCATAGGCTCCTTAGTAGTTCCTTTTTGGGATTACCTTATAGGATTCTAAACATGAACCATAAAAAGGAACTACTTAGGAGCCTTTGGGTAAGCACCAGTAAGGAGCTCAAGGGTCGAAGGATGCCTCCTCCCATTGCGGCGGGGCTCAGCAATGGAAGTCGGCATCAACGGATGACCTCGAGAGATTGTCCGCGAGGTAGAGCTTGTTTGTAGGATCCCAAAGGGTTCTGTGAGGGTGAGGGTTCTATAAGCGATGAACTTGACTGAATACTGGTATTGCCAGCAAGAGAGAGATTGTGGTGACTCATAACGTATAAATAGGCATACCACAAACTCTGCATGTCGGCACCAAAGAACCCTCACGCAGCAAATCCACGACGAGGCGGGCAATGTTGCGGCTGTCGTGAAGGCCACAGTGGGGCCTGTGCGCTGCAGGCTTTAGGGACTATAGCGGGATACTACTAATTCGTAGTAATCACTGCTTTCCTGAATTACAGGAAGTTTAAATCGTACTACAAAGTATTCCGACACCGAAAAGCATGTTTCTTAAGGGTGTAGCAAATTCGAGTTCTGTGCCTGTCGGCATTGGCGCCTGGATCCGAGCTTTTCCACCTTCATCTCTTTAAGGGCACATGGATTCAGAAGGAAGAATAGTGTCGTAGGCTGCGAGTACTTTACGATGCTTACAGGGCATATGCATGATTATGATCCATGATGACGGCTGCTGCCACTACGAAGTATGGAGGTTGATGCTACGCAGGTAAGACGCCTGCGAGTTGCGGTGTCGTTGGCATTGGTTCAGATGCTTCTGCCGCGACTTCGATTCAGTTCCACATCCTGCATATCAAAACTTTGGCTGTTGTGTCAAGCCCCTGACTCTATGTAAACCGGATCGCGGAAGGCCTGTAGACGCAAACGAGGAGGCTTCTGCGCTACAACAATCGGTTCGAAGTAACTAGCTCGTCTCACGACAGGCCTATACATGTTCTTCTTGTCGGATGGAGTTCTCAGAATTACTATTCGGTCTGACATGTCCTGTTTGCCATGTTCACGTGTTCGTCACCTGCTGCTACAACTACTCTACTTCTACGATTGCGACGCCGGCTGCTGCTGACCGCTACTACTATTCCCACTGCTGCTGCTACCAGTACGAGTAGTACTGCACATACTGCTGGTAATACTAGTACGACTATAAGTATATAGTACTACTAACACTACTAGTGTTACTAGTGCTACAAGTGCTACAAATAATACCGTACTGCAGTCTACTCCCACCACTAGTCCTCCTAGCCAGTACTCATGCTGCAGCTACTGCTCTTGCTACTTAAAATCCGACAACGACAACGACGACGACCACTGCTTCTAGTGCTATATACACCTACGACGGGATCACACCATCGCCGCCGCCGTCACACCGCCACCGCACCACCACCACCACCACCACCACCAACGACTGCCCCAGTTTATTCAACAGAGAGCTGGTTAGGGCATCTGCACCGTCACATCTACGATGCAAATGTACGAACAAGTTGCTCAGTCATGCAATCGAAAACAGCACAGTAGGAGATCGCGAAGAAGACCTGGCTCTCCCTGCCCTAAACCCTAAACCCAAAAGTGAACCCTGGACCGTAAATCCAAAACCCTGAATGCTCTCTGCAATCACACTTTGGAGCGAAATCCCTGGGGTGGGGTCGACGACTCCAGTCCTGCCATCGAAGGACATGCCACGGCAACTGAGCATCTCCTGGAACGGCTTAAGGCTTTAGAGTTTAGGGGTTTAGGGGTTTAGGGTTTAGGGTTTAGGGTTTAGGGGTTTAGGGTTTAGGGTTTAGGGTTTAGGGCCAGGGTTGCAGGTTCTTTTTGGAGGGGTATCGCCTCGGGTACGTGCACATACTTATGGTCTGGGACCCGGTCTGGAGACAGTCAAGATCGCGCCAGAATCGGCTGTCGCGCAACGTGAGGGAAAAAGAGTACGCTGGGCTAAATTCTCTTCTGCTTCCCCTGAATATACGACGACTACGACTCCCACTCCTACTGCTCACCGCGCCCGCGCTACAAGCACGAGCTCAGCACTAATACCACTGCTCTCAGAGCCTCTGCCCAAACCGAGGAAGTCTTCAAACTTAATGTCCCTTGCAGCGAATACCGCAACACCCTAGACCCCAAAACCTTAAACCCCACTCTTATCATTCTGACCACCCCCTAGAGACAACACGTCACCCTCTCGTCTTGCAGATTTTTGAGTACTAGAATACTATGATATCTTGAAGCTTCTTCCGGACTGAGACGTTCAGAGTCATAGACAAGTGATCTATATATGTATATCTGCAGGAAGGGTTTAAGCTGAGGCACCTAAACTCCTACAACTCAAGCAAGACTCCAAGTAGCAACACCCGGCACAGTCCCCCACATAGCCTCTCTAAGCCTTAATAACTGGGATAAGGCTTTGGGGTTAAGGCACAATCATACTGCGGAGCCCATTGGAATAACATCGGCAACGAATCCCTAAATCCTAAACACTATGAAACCCACAGTCCTGCAGGCTGCATTCCTTGCCGCAGCCAAAGGCGTTGGCGAACTGCCGGCGGACGTTGACGTAGGAGTGCCAACAGCCACGGAAGCCGAAACCTCTCGGCGCATAGGGTCGAGGGGCTGAGAGTTTATGAAATACCCTAAGGCTCAAAATAGCCCAAAATCCTCAGCCTTAGGGATAGGATTTCGGGGGCGTCAACATACATTGTTTTACCGCACGTCTTGTGCGCTCGAGATGCAGATCTTAGGGCCTGCAACTTGCTACCCAATCCCCCATACAAAGTTACAATATACAAATAGATAAACAAAGAAATAACATATATACATACATACATACATACATACATACATACATACATACATACATAGCCTAGACCCATCAAAAGAAACGCAGTGTGCAAACCCGCCTTTTCGTCGGGTCTCGGGCTCCAAGAACTGCCGGACATCCGAGGGCCCATCGGTGCAGATCACGAATCGCCGGCTCTGGGGTGTGCCTGAGAGGTATCGGATCTAGGATCTGGGAGTTCCCTCGGGGTTCCTTAAATGGGTTTAGGGTTTAGGGCTTAGGGTGTGCCTGAGAGGTCTCGGATCTAGGATCTATCAGTTCCCTTCGTGGGTTCCTTAAAGGGGTTCAGGGTCTGCTTTACTTAGAGGGTTGCGCCAGGGGCTCTTTAGGGGGGTCAGGCCTTCGGGCACATATAAGCTAACTGTTCAAGTACCGCGTCTGGTGTATGTTGCTGTATCAGCATGCAAAGGGCTAAAAGGGGAAACGCTGAACCTTAAACCCCACACCCTAGCATACCTTGGACGAAAAGGGGACACTACTACTATCACTAGTTATGCCGATCTCTGTAGTGTCGGGTATGAATAATCAGAATAGGGGTTTGGGGTATATTATACTGTAATTATAAGGAACCCGAAAACTAGTATAGGTAATTAGTAAAGCACCCCTACGTGAGTGGGATCTGGAACTGAGGAGGCTTCCTTTATAACGACTGGGCAGGTCCTTGGACCTAGGACATAGAACTTGGTTTGGGCTTATGGGCTTTGGGTATTTAGGTCAGGTTTACGATAGGAAGGGTATTAAATTTCCTACAATCAAAGCGGAAAACCAATACCCCGAACGATATACCCCACTTCCGACACCTGGTTCACATCAAATTAATGCAAATTGTTGGCCCCCCCAAAAGCCCCACATACTGTGGTATGCTTAAGATGTAAATATAGAGTCTAATTAGATCATACTCGGAGCGGCTTTAGGATTGATATAGGGGGATGTTTACGCTCTGATGCCGCTGACCGTTTTTGGAGCTTTGCGAGGGGGTGTAAGGATTTGATGTCTGCGTTGCAGGGTTTGGATTCGCGGTAGTCCAGGAAGCGTTGTCGTCATCATCGCTGTAGCAGCAAGATTGAGAATAGAAGCACCAATGGCAATGGTCCATGCCGACGATTAGCACTAAACCCTAAACCCTTAGACCACCCAAAATACACCCTGAAACGGCCAAAGCGCTAGGTTCATGAGGTATAAACCCTAACGCCGTAAAGCCTAAAGCCTAAAACCCTCAACCCGAAAGCCCACATCTCAAAACCCTAAACCCTGCTGATCCTATGATTCGACAGGTCAGGCTGCGATCGCGTGGGCGGTGTACCAGAGAGCGCTCCTCCAGAAAGTCGTAGAAGTCTCTGAGCACTACATCGAGGGTGTCCGCCTTTCGGTGTTCATGGGTTTTGAGTCTCCGATCTAGGGTGTCTGCCTTGGGGGATTCTTGGAGTTTGTGCGCGCTGCTTTGGCTTCTGCCTGGAGAAAGGTGTACTTCGGCTTTCCTCCTGGCTTGCCGATTGCGGGACGGAGAATTCTTGAGGCTGTGTCGGTTGTGAGAAAGGTCATCTGAGTAACCCTAAACCCTAAACCCTACATCCTGAGCCCTAAACCCTAAACACCAAAACCTAAGCCCCCCAAACCCTAAACACGAAATCATAAACCCTAAATCCCAAGCCCTACCAACTCTGGACCCTGCCAACTTCTCGCCTGCAGCTTGAAACCCATGCATTTCTCATGATCGGACCTGCGAACAAACCCCTAAACCCTAAACCCCTAAACCCTAAACCCTAAACCCCAAAAGCTACATCCGATCGAGCTTCTAAGCCTAAGCGCCAATCCTGAAACCTACTGCCGGGAACCTACAATGTAGGGGCCGCAATAGTTTGAATAAGGGTTTGGGCTCCTTGATGGTGTACTTGTAATGTTATTTATAATAAGGAGCCCTAGTTTGGGCTCCTTGATGGCATACTTGTAATGTTATTTATAATAAGGAGCCCTATGGAATACTATTCGTAATTTTCTGGTCTATCGGCTTCTACAGTAACCTCAACCCTCACTCCTCTTCCTTCTTGCCTGCTCCCTGATCCCTGAGACCTGCACCCTAAAACCCTAAACCCTGAAGCCCTAAACCCGATGTCCCCTAACTGTTAGGGTTTAGGCTTCAGGGTTTGGGGCCGTTTTTATGGGGTAGAGTTGTAAATCCTGATCCCCAAAACCTCAGCAACTCTAAACCTGAGAAGGGGGCCAGTAGGATGACATCGGCGGCTCAATGGCTCCAGCAGAGCTTGAGTGAATTATGCTGATACTTCGAGATAGATTTTTAAGTAAGGCACCCTCAGCCCCCGAGTAGAAGAGCATCTGCAATTCTCAGACCCCGAGAATATACTGCAGAATAGCTTGACCCTAAACCCGGAACCTAAAGCCCTAAACCTCTCCCTAACCCCCCGCCAGGTAAACCTAAACTCGAAACCCTAAACCCCTCAACCCTCAACCCTAAGCCCCTCAACCCTCAACCCCCTAAACCCTCAACCCCTAAGCCCTCAACCCTCAACCCTAAGCCCCTCAACCCTCAAACCCCTAAACCCTCAACGCCTCAACCCTCAACCCCCAAACCCAAAGACTCCAATATCCCTTAATTAGGGAATATACCTTAAGTTAAAAATTGCAACCCCAATAAGACTTAAAGTATATTCCTTAATTAAGGCATATTGGAGTCTCTGGGAACCCGCAACCCCTAAACCCGAAACCCTAAACCCCCTCAACCCTCCCTCAAAGCCCCTAAACCCTAAACCCTACACCCTCAACCCTTGTCACAACCCTAAACCCCGGTCGTCACGAAGCTCGGGCCCACGCCTCTTCCACCCACTCCTGCTGAATGCCTGTGAGCTCCCTGCAGAAGTCCTGGCCGAACCGGGCGGGTTCAGGGCTTAGGGGTTCAGGGTTTGGGCTTAGAGGTTTAGGGTTTAGGGTTTAGGGGTTCGAGGCTTCGGGTTTAGGGTTCAGGGCTTCGGGTTTAGGGCTTGGGGCTTAGGGTTTAGGGCTTAGGGTTTCGGGCTTAGGGTTGAGGGCTTAGGGATTAGGGTTTAGGGCTTAGGGTTAAGGTGTAAGGTTTAGGGTTTAGGGTTTAGGGCCCCAACCTGCAGCATCACCTTCATTGATGTAGGGGCCCTTCATACAAAGGGCCTTTTTTGGGGCTCCTTTGTACTAACCTACCTTTTTAAGGACTTGCATAAGGAAATCAGAAGGAGGAGCCCTAAAAAGGGAGGTTCGCTAGGATAAAGGTAGATTCTAAACCCTTGGAGAGTATATGGGTAGTTGTCGACATCAGTGTCTCTTTTAGGGTCCTTCTTTACAAGGGTGCCGTGCTAGATTGGGGACCTTAAAAAAGGACCCTAGTTCGGAGAACAACCCATGCGTCGAGCGGGAGGCGGGCTCAGGGCTTAGGGGTTGGAGTTAAGGGTTTATTGCTCGAGGCCTCCTGGCCTTCACGTCATCTAAACCCTAAACCCCTAAACCCCTAAACCCCTAAACCCTAGGACCCTGTGATCCCCAAACCTTGTGCGCCTTGAACCCTAAGCGGCCCTAAATGGCCCTAAATTTGGGGACTGTTTTTCTGAACGTGTAGCTACTTTGGCTTCTAGAGGCAGCCCTGGGCCAAAACAGAAGCTAGAACAGGGGCCTTTAATGTTTAGAAGAGGGTTTCTTAGATTAAAAGGGTCCCCTTAGAGGGATTTAGAAGGTTTCTATTCAGGACTTGCTGCGTAGGGGCTTAATTGGAATAGGGTTTGGGGTGGTAGATTTTGCCTTGCTGGAGTCGCGAGTTGGACGTTTGGTTTTGGGGGTTTCGAGGGTTTCGGCCCTGTCTGCAAAAAATGACTCCGGAAACCCAGGTCATAGTGAGTTGATTGATGAACATGTTTTGAAAAAAACCCAACCCTAAACCCTAAAACCCCAAACCCTAAACCCCTAAAACCCCAAACCCCAAACCCTAAACCCGACACTCTAAAGCTTCAAGTTCGCGCTGCGAAACCCGGAACCCTACATCCTACCCAAAATAAAGCTGTGGCCCGTCTTCTAAGACCACTACCCAAAGGCTCCTAAGTAGTTCCTTTTTATGGTTCATATTTAGAATCCTATAGGGTAATCCCCAAAAGGAACTACTAAGGAGCCTATGGGTATAGACCAGACTCACTGGGCCTTCCCTGGGCTTCAACTACCTACGTCGCGGGCGTTGTGTAGACTTAGAGCAGAGTGAGGGGTTTGTTAAAGGGTTTAGGGTTTTGTCTTTTGGGGTTTAGGGTTTAGGGTGTAGGGTTTAGGGTATAGTTATACAGGCCGAAGGGTATGACAGTGAGATATTCTTGGTCGGTCGAATCCCTGTATTGTATCACGTAACCCGGTAATCCATCATGTAGGTAACTGTAGTCCTCGAGAAGGAGTTTAGCGACCTTAGAGCGAATAAAACAGTCCTCTTCTTCAAAAAAACCCTTGGAGTTAGAACAAGATTGCGTTTAAATTTTCCAATGCACACCCTGCGGGGGTCCGAGAGACGTGGCTTCTCTGTAGGACGCACGTAGCGATGGAACTCGAACTCCACCTGCACCACAGTCAGTCAGTTTTTGCGGTATGAAGCTTACCCTAAACCATTAAAACCCTGTTTAGAGCGTAGGTTTTGGGTTTGCGAAACCCTATAAACCGAGAGTCTGCCCAGAACAGGCTCCCCCCGCTGCCATCGGCCTCCAGCGTCTCTGCGTTCACAAAGACGACCGGGAACTCGATAATCTCATGCCTGTATTTCCTGCGAATTCCCAAAACCCCAAACCTGAACCCTTCAACCCTAAACCCTAAACCCCTAAACTTAAACCCTACAAACCCTAAACCCCAAAGCCTTATACCCCAAAGCCCTAAACCCTAAACCCCTAACCCTAAACTGTATTTCCTGCGAAGCACCGGAGAGCTGCGCCGCTCTGAGAATGCAGCAGATTATTGCTGTCTGTTGCGATGAAACCCTGCAAAACTGCACCAGTTCCCGGAACCTTAAATTCTAAACAAAGAAACCGAACAAAAGCCTGCACCCCAAACCCTAAATAACCCTAAACCCTTTTCCCCTAGGCCTTAAGCCCTAAACCCCACTCCATTTTCCCTAAGCTTGGGGCGACCTTAGTCAGCAAC